CTTTTAATGGAACAAAGTCTCTTCAAGCCCTGGTGGCAAATTCAGCACAAGCAGAGCTCTCACGACTCAGCGCAATCACATTTGGTAACAATTAAATGTCAGTCTGTGCTGCTTTACGATGCTGTCTGTCAAATAATAATGCGCTCACATTATAGTTATTTTAGGTTAGACTCAGGAACAGGGGTCACAATGTCTGCTCAAATAATGTAATCTGATCTGAAGATCTGAGAGAAACAGGCAGCCATGTGGAAAGTATCACTATATTTCTGCCTTCCAACAGTGAGGAAAAAACGAGGGAAAAATTCCTTCTAAAAGTCAAGAAATATGAATATAAATGGTCCATATCAAGAACAATATATATACAGTACCGCTCAAAAGTTTGGGGTCAGTTTGATTTTTTAATGTTTTTAATGGAACAAAGTCTCTTCAAGGCTGCATTTATTTGATTATAAATACTGTAAAAAATTAGAGCAAATGTAAAATAACCATTTTCCATATTATTATACTTTAAAATGTAATTTATTCCTGGCCAAGCTGAATTTTTAGAAGCCATTTCTTCAGTGTCACATTCATGCTAATATGTTGCCTTGGTGCTCAAAAAACATTTCCTATTATTATCAATGTTGAAACCAGTTGTGCTACTTAATATTTTCATGGAAACCGTAATACATTTGATACAACCAAAATACAAGTATTATTGTGTCAACTGGTTGGAGAGAAACACTTTATCACAAACAGAAATCTGTAACCCTTAACTGGCAGTTCATTACTATAATCCACTTTAAGCCCCTGCTTTTTACGGCTGATAAGAAACACCTCTTGCATAAGCTGTACGCTGATTGTCTCCGCCAGAGGTATAAGCCGCCACGCTTAGATGGACATAAAACATCCATCAGGACCTGTGACATGTCAATCACAGCTTCATCTTTAGGTCAGGATGTGCAAGTATGTCAAAGCTCTGATGTTCATCTCAGGCTCTTATAGAGAACCATAAGGATTTTTCAGGTTGCGAGTTTAGTGATGGGATGTTTAAAAAAAAAAAAGAGCTAAAACGTAGGCCTTTTATATGTTCATGTAGGCCTGTGTGGAAAAAAGCGCCTTAAGACCAAGGCTGATGAGGCTAAAACGTCATTTCACAAACAAGTTCTCACCACAAAACTATTCACACCATATTTGATGCTAAGTCATTCTCTTAAAAATGTTCAGACATCGATGAATCATCATGAATCATTTGGCATACAATTAAAAAAAAGTTGGCATCCAATTAAAAAAAAGACTTAAGAAAAATTATTAAAATAAATTATTATTATTATTACTATTACTACTACTACTACTAATAATAAATATTAACAGACTTCAAAAAGGCACTAAAAAAATTAAATAATTCAAATCAATATAGACTTTAAAAATAAAAAGATAAATTAAAAAAAAAACAAATTAAATAATAATAATCATATTAAAATAAATATAAACAGACTCCAATAAAGTACTAAAATATAAGAATAATACAATGATAATAATAATAATAATAATTCTAAAATAAGTATAATAATTCAGACTTGGAAATAGGGGGTTTACATCTATTATTTTAAACACAGGAAACTGTGAAAAGAAAAAATGCACCTTACTCTTGTTTTTCTTACACTAACATGCTCTATTCATTTGTGAACGTATAATTAAAATGCTTATTAGTGACGGATAATAATTCACAAGCAGTGCTATTATGTTTACATGCAATACAAATCTGAATCAAAAGATTGCTGGCATGTTCTTTATCCGTAAACGCTGTTTTTCCTGTGACAACCCTGCCAACTAGAGTCCTGTGACTCCATCATCAACTGCTGCCATTTTCATTTGACTCTGGGATGAGTTATGACCCCTAACTCCAAAGTTTGACATTTTAAGGCTGTAATTGCAGTGCTTAATGTCAGAGCTGTGGATGCACCTGTCACTGGAGAATGAATCAATAGCCTGAAGGTGACGGTCACATTTCTGAGCAAGATACTATGAGCTGTCCTCCCTCTCCGGTTGAGACCGAGAGACCTTAGAAACGGTAGTGAATATAGCGCACTTGAGGTCAGTAGACTTTCTCTGTGAGGTTATTCCTTTAATATTTTGAGCTCAAGGGCCATTGGTTAACTAGCAAAAACTCCTTCATGCATTTAACAAGTCAACTTGAGGTCAGCTTTCCTCAAGTGTCTGAATGCCAGTTGCCAGGTGCTTGGATGACATAAAAAGCAATATAGAATTTATTAATATACTGAATGGAACATAAAGGCTTCTCAAACTCCAGAACTGACAAATAAAAGCTGGTTTTCTGGCTCTTCCGAGGCTAACAAACCTTGCTATCACTCAGCTACCATTGCTCTGGACTGCTTGTGAAGAATGCGGCCACATGAAAGAAACATAATTGCTATTGTCTGGAATGTAGAGCCGAATGATGAAAAGCAAAGCTTTCTCCATATTGTTTGATAATTAGCCCCCCTGTTCCGTGAGTGATTTGCATAGTGGTCACTTGACAAATAAAGGCAGTCCTGGAAGTGACAGTATATAAATGACTTGTTTTGCAGACAGCAGATGGTGGGTATCACAGGGAGCAGGAGAGATAGAGGGAATGAGAGCGAGAAAAAGAGGAGGAAAGGAGGGAGGAATGGGGTACATACGGCTGCAAACACGCTGCCTACCAGCTGCTGCTGTTCAACTGGAGTCATATCCACATATCCACTGGAGTCATTTTCAAAACTTCCACCAATCAATAAAGAGTATTGTGTGGAAAATCAATAACATTGATTTACATCGTAACCGGAAAATAAATAAATACTACTATTTCATGTCAAATAGTGTTTTTAGATTAGTCTACTGAATCCTTAAAACTAAAACTTTTAAACTTTGTTTTCGCTAACTGAAATAAAGCTGAAAATTTTAATATTATATGAAAAACTTATACTTGTTGCCTTGCCAGCTAACTAAAATAAGGTTAAGTTAAAGTACTAAAATGACTAAAACTAAAACCTAAATAAAATCAATTAAAGCTAAATAGAATAAAAAAAGCTAATACAAATGACAACAGTTACAGCACATGACGGAATTGCTAAAATTTTAAATAAATAAATAAACTGCAAAAAATTAAAATATAAGCCGTTTCAAAATATTAATAAAATACTATAATTGCATACACTAAAACCATTTGGCGTGGAAACAATTTTCTCTCAGAAATTGCCAGTAAATAAAAAATAAAATAAATAAAAACGGTTACAAAGAAATGGCAAGTAACACATTAAATTAAACATTAGGGGTGTGACGAGATCTCGTGGCACGAGATCTCGCGAGATCCAAGGTGTCTCGCGAGATCTCATCTCCAGAACTGCTCTGAGAGTCACTTCATGAGCATTTTAGCGTTTGATTTGAGTCTAGCGTCATATCTCATACACAGAACTGTAAAGGTAATCACGGCAACCCGTCAAAATAAAAGTACGGTTTGATTTGAAGACATTGTGCCGTGGGGATCCCGGGACGCTCGTCACCGTAGTTCCGTTCATCCCGCGGTGTTACTTTCGGTTCCTGTGGAGCTGCTTCGGTGACGGTGTTCCCAGCAAAGGAAGAAAGGTCGTAAAAAACGTGGGAAACGAGGAGGACTTCTGATTAAGTATAAACGATTTTGGGCCTCCCAAAGGAATTGTTTGGTGCCGCATATGGACTATTCCAGCTTTGGGGAATTAAGACGCTCATGGGTGGTTCCCGTTGAGCCTAACGGGATGCTTCCAGCTTATCGGCGTGGCCAACGGCTTTCGCGTCATCGGAACGGAGGCGTAAATGTCAGCAATCTTCGATCGCTCAAACAAGATAAGTGCATGAATTTTCCACTAGTTGATAACACCATCTCAGTCAAGATGGCGTTAATAAATGCGAGGTCCATGGTGAATAAAACTTTTATTTTAAATGATTACTGTTCATCAAATAACTTGGACTTCCTTTTTGTGACTGAAACTTGGCTTGACGCGTTGGACTTAAGTCCTTTGTCTGAACTTTGTCCTTTTAATTATCTATTTTTGAATTCGCCTAGAACTTCTGGAAGAGGTGGAGGTATTGCAACAGTGTACAAAAATCATTTTAAGTGTAGTCAATCCGCCCTTCTTAAGGTTTTTAATGAAATTTTATTGACCGTTGATTCAGGAAAGGTAGTTCCCTTTCAGTCGGTCACTCTCGACGTCACGTCGGATGACCGACGAATTGGGATCTCGCTTAGAGGGACCAATCTACTTCGAGTGTAAACTAAACGAGCCAATGTATATATATACATATATATATAAAACAAAAAACTCTCTTATAATTTGTTTTATTTAAAAAAAATTTCACCATGTACAAATAATACTAAAATAATGCTCACTTGTGCAGTATTTATGCTATGGACATATCTCAAATTAAGTGGTTTATTGTGGAAAAGATTGCTACTACTTCTCTATATGATCAGATTGACAAATTTTTGCCCGGTGGATGATAAAACAAGCTGAAAAAAAAAAGTACATTGATGAAGGCTCAGAATAGCATAGAGACTTGGCATGTGATGGTGATTTTGCATGGGCAAAAACCACTTTCATAAATCTGTCTGATGCCTTTATTGGCACAGACATAATCAACTGTACCTTTAAGTAAAGTATTTATTTGTACCTACAGTTTCATGGTTACTACCTTTTACTTTGCAAACTTCATTCATGCCTGAACGGCGGTTGACGAATGCTGATATTGCGAATCTTACGCCATTGTTTTTAAACTTGTTGCATCTGGAATCCTTAAAAGAAAAGTTAAATGCAAATATATAAATTTTAAAACACCCCACACTATTTAGCTATATAATGTCAGCATAGACAGCAGTCCATCTAGTGGTGACATTTATAAAGCGTTTTACCCATACTGACACAGTTCCAATTATAAAAATGCATAAAAAAAGAGATGTTAATCACAAATTCTGAAAGCCTGTTGCTGTTTTCATGGCGACCTACCTCGCGTATCGGGGGGTCACTGGCGAGGCTGTCGAGGTTGACGGAGCCCTCGTAGGTCAGGTGGTGAAAGACGTTGAGGGCGCGTGCCGCCTCGGGTCCACGTTGCTTGTAGCCAAAAATAAGGTCAATCCACTGGTGCAGCTGACACGACACAAACTCGCTTTCCAGGGCCTGTCAAAGAGAGCGGGGCAATTAGAGGTTAAAGGTACACATACACAACATGAACACAAACACACACAGACGTACAGACGTGAACACACATGCACAGATAAACATACACCCGCGGTGACGCTTCTCGATTAAGCAGACTGCAATAGCCTGAGATCCACATAAGAGGTCAAAATGTAAATAAATAACTTTCAATAAAAATAAATACCTTTTAACATTTTTCATTCAATAAAATATGATAGACACAACCCTTAACACTGAAATTTAACTAATCCAACAATATACTGTACAGTGAACCTATTTGGACACTTAATAATGTGTGATTGTTGTTAGATAAACTATATATACAAAAACATATTGATCAAAAGTTTGGGGTCTGTACTTTTTTTTAATGTTTCTGAAAAAAGTCTCCAAGGCTGCATTTATTGGATCAAAAAATACAGTGAAGACAGTTATACTGTGAAGTATTATTACAATTTAAAAGAATGATTCTTGTTATTAACAATGTTGAAAACAATCTTGCTGAATAATATTTCCATGGAAAAAGTAATGATTATTTTTTTCAGGATTCTTTGATGAAGAGAAATTTCAGAAGAACAGCATGTAACATAAATGTCTTTAAAGTGTCCTTGCTGAAAAACAAAATCATTTCTTAATTAATTAAAATATTAATATATAATATTAATGATTTTTTTTTATTTTTTGTCATTTTTATTATTGTATTTTATCTTTTTATTTTTTAATATGTCCATATAGTTTTTATACATTTTAACAGTTATTTAATAGTTAATAGTGATACATTTATGTTATATATATATATATATATATATACACACACACGCACATATACATACTGTACACACACACACACGCACGCACGCACGCACACACATACACACACACACACACACAGACACCTTGTTTATGGTACCTGCGGCAGTGAGCATTTCTTCTATATTTTCTATTTTCTTCTATTTTTGACCATTAACTATGGTCAGTTATGAATTCAAAGCATCATTCTATTCCAATAAGGCCTGGATACTGCTGTTAACGCTTAAAGATGCACTGACGTGCTTTATTATAGTTATCAAATCCCATCAAAAACTGTCATACTGAGATAACAAAGGGGGGAAAAAGAAAGAATGAACAAATAACACAGAGTGGCACACACTTTTTTTCCTCCCTCTCACACACAAACACACCCAGGGCACCGCTGCTGGAATTTACACACTCACTCTCACATCAGAAATAACAGCTATTACCAACAGAGCAAGCCGTGGAGCGCAGGGGCTGAGTTCCCCCCAGGGCATGTCATTACAATCGAAAGTGACACATGCAAAGATGGGAACACTAAGTGAAAGAAAGAGAGGAAGAAATGGCAGGAGGGGAACGGAGAGAGATGAAGGGAGCACAAAGACAAGGAGAGAAAGAGGGGATTAAATGAGACAGAGAGAAAGAGCAGCAGAAAGAGAAAAATAAAGGACAAGATCTAAGGACAAAATCGAGCCGTAGCCTGTTTAAAAATGTATGTGCTATTCAACTAACCTAACATACCTAACTAACAGTCAATGCAACAAACCAAAGAATTCCATTAAAAACTGAACACAAAATGAAATTAATATTTATTGAAACTGGATATTTGTGTTGGTATTCCTGCTTGTTTACTGTATGAAATAAAGAGACCCAAATATTAAAGTTATCATGATTTTCTTTCTGCTGTGGACAGGGTTGCCAGGTTTTTGCAACAAAACCCGTCCAATTGCTACTCAAAACTAGCCCAAAACTAGCCCAATCATGTTTCGAGGGGGGTCCGCGTTCTAGGGGGGTAAAATACACATTTTTTGGCAGGGTTCCCGTGGAACAATTCACAATCCCGGGGCTAAATATGACATTATTGGGATTGCTTCAACCTGCGGACATGAAAAATAACCCGCGGCAACAGTGTTAAAGTAGCCCAATTTTGGGAAAACCGCGGACTTGGCAACACTGGCTGTGGCTCACAAAGGAAGACATTTTACAGAATGACCCGGAAATATGGCAAGATAAATATTCAAACATGGTTTGCCAATATGTCAAGGCATGTTTGACGTCAGTGAGATCAAATTAAAGAGAACTTTTGAGAGATATATAACAAAAATAAGCTTTAAAATAAGGTTTTCAGGAAATATTGAAATTAAAAATTTCAATATGTACCTCACAAAAAGTTATAATATGACTTAAAGACTTGAAATACAGCACACCACCAGATGTATGGACCAATATTATGGCGTCTTAATAGTGCTTTTCTGGTTCTGATCTGAGAAGACTTACTAATATGTACAGAAATTAATCATTTATTTGGCCTGTGAATTGTTTATCAACACAAACTGTTTAAATGAAAAAGTGAATGAATCAGAATTCTTACTCAAATGAATCAGAATTCTTACTCAGAACCAGTGACTTTTTTTTTTAAACTAAAACAATTTTCGTTTTTTAACTATTTTTAAGACGATTTTTAAGAGCCGGTTCTTTTTAGTGAAAATAAAAATAAATAAAAGTTAAGAGGAATAGAACTGTTATGAAAAAGGCACTAGGACTTTCTACTACACTTCTTTTGCTGGAAGAAATAAAGCCAAATGGATTCAAAACATAGCTGAGGAGTAAATTATAACCGCATGCATAGATCAATTATTTCTTTAAAACCAGACGAGGAGCTTATTATATTTTATTTACACCAGCTTTTGTTAAAATTATGAAGATGCTTTTTTTTTTTTTTTTTACCAGAAAGAGGAAACCAAACTGTGAGACCTGAACAGATTTTGTACCATTCAAGGCTCGTGTCAAATAGTTTGATATGTCTGAGGTGTTTTGACATCCTCAAGCCCTTTCTTAAGGAAATCTCACTTTAACAGACAGCTACTTGTGTGATCTTTGGATATGTGCGCGTGTAGGTGCGAGTACGTGTGTCTCTATAGCTGAATGTGTTAAACCAGAAAAAAAAGGAGGCCGGAGGAAAGGTCACCTCCACAAGACACACACACACACTCCAACACTGTCACTGCATCTGAAAAGATCAAGTGTGTTTCCTGTAGTGCACATACACACACTTTTTCCTCAGGCAGCATGGGCCTCAACACACCCTTAATACTTTGATATGGCAGAAGTTGTGATACACAATCAGTAGCATTAAATGCACAAACACGAGTCAATTTATACATCATGCAGCATATACAATTCCCATCTTTCCCCATGTGGTTCTCTCATTTTTATGAGTATGTGTGTAAGATACAGCCATTATAAGAGGCAGAACACAATTTCGAGCCCACCGCAGTCCAGAGGGATTGGTGGCCACACACACATATCCTGTCTGCTGCGAGCCAAATCATGATTGATGAAGTCGGCATTAGGGTAAGATTATAAGGGACAGTGGCCGGGCCTGTCCTCCGTGACATCATTCAGCTCAGCGGTAGATTACATTAGTATCGAGCAGTGCACTACATTACGACCTTCACAGTGGAAAAGCAGCACACAGAGGCCTGCAGAGGACCAGGATGCTGTTTCATTCAAACGAATCAGGGTGATCTCAGGGGAACAGACAGAAGGAAATGGATTGCAGATTAAATACTAGATAAAGAATTTAAGATTCTGCAGATTCTGTTAAGACATTACATCAGTTGATGTAATATAGTTAGCAAAGCAATATGACATTATTGGACTATAGGTCTCCCACATTTTCTGAATCAATGCATTGTTTTTTAATCATTTTTTGATATGCAGTTTATTTGCATGAGCGTCTTAATGAATATATTCAAAAATGAATCAGATTTCTAAGTCAGATTTGCTTACACGCACACATTTTCTTGAAAGAAATTAAAACTTTTATTCAGCAAGGATGCATTAAATTGATCGAAAGTGACAGTACAGACATTTATAATGTTAAAACAGATTTTTATTTCAAATAGATGTTGCTTTTATTTTTAATCCTTGAAAAATGTATCATAGTTTCCACAAAAATATAAAGCTAAAGTAAATATAGAATAAAAGTTATTTTAAATTATAATATTTCACAATATTACTGTATTTACCGTATTTTTGATCAAATAAATGCAGCTTTGGTGAGAATATATATATA